ATAGATAGATAGATAGATAGATAGATAGATAGATAGATAGATATATATATATAAGTGATCATATGACCATTCCTTGAGTGATACGCCATTAGATCAAGTGAGTAGAAAGGAGATAAAACTGTTAAGATTAGAACATTTCTTAAATTTATTCTGGCCTATGAATCCAGACTGGAGTCTTGGCAGTGTGATCTTTTAATGCAGATACTTTTACAGCTTTGGATCTGTGTGAATATATTTTTTTTTCTTTTTACCCTAAACCATTTTAATCTCCCCAAGTGCATTTTGTTGTGTGCATTTCATTTGCAGTGTTTTTTTTTTAATATAAATTAATTCAGTAACTCTGCAAAGTTCCCCTCTCCTTTAAAATACCTGTAGGAATGTTGCTGATTCAGACAGAAAACATTGCTTCTTCTCTGGAATTAATATATATTTGCATTTAGTGTATTCTGCTAATTAGATATCAATTGTAGAGATGGGCATTTAAAAATGAAAACCAGTGGCTGCATACAGCTTAAATTTAAACACACAGGCTAATGGGACGTGTTTTGTATCGGATTGATTTGTATCAAAGTTTGTCATATTTATATATATCGGCCTACCGATTTATCGGTTGGGCTCTAGTATTCACTAAAAGTGATCTAACCTGTTAAATTTTGATTTTTACAGCAGGATTACTGGTTAATGTTTGGAAATATATTTACAGTCTCTTATTCATCCAACATCATTGAGCTCAAGAAACGTCATAGCCCTCTTCCAGAGCAGCTTCAGACGAGGACAAATTACATTAACTAACATGCATTCATTAAACTGTTCAACCTTGTTGTAATCTCTAAGTGTAATATGTTTTAAAATGTATGCACTGGTTCATCTTCCTGTAGACTGGGAGAAGTAAAAGCTCTCCTCAACAAAACAAAACTAACTCACCAAAACAAAACTAAATAGTTTCTTAAGCATAGAAAAAAACTATTATCTATGATTTTTTTAAATAGGATTTATTGAATGAATGATGAAAAGTTGATGCAAACTCAGAGAAAAAGAGTAGGTCTGAAAACAAACACTTTACTTGACTTTACCCCCTAGTTTGCACAATAGGCTGACGATCCATGAGCTACATCCTTGTTTATATTCTTCGAGGATGATGTTTTTTCACTGTGACGCTTCTGCTGGTTTAGCAACTGTTAACTGGAAAAATCTGGAAAATCAAAGGTATTGCTGTATTTCATGCAGGGCAACAGGCAAAGTCAAGTAATCGTGTAACAGATTGGAGTTCAATTGAATTAAGTTCAATTCAAAACATACTTTGTTGTGGAAAATCAACTTTTTTTTTTCAGGGGTTCTTTTAGATGTTGATAGCCTTAGGAAGGAATGTTTTTCTGTAGTGGTCTTTCTTGCACTGGATCCAGAGAGGTGTTTGACTACAGACACTCTGTTGTTGTCTAACTGTCTTAATTTTATGACCATTTTTTTCTTCCTGGAATCCTCTACAGAAGTTCTTGTTGAGTTCAAATGAGAAGGTGTGAAACTGTTCTACTGCTACATGTATTAAGATCCAATTATTTCATACGTTATACTAGTTAATGTTATACTCCAAAAAGCCAAAAAATAGGTCCTGAAAAACCCTTGTATGTATGTATTGCCAACATGTAGCCGATCTGTGCCTATAAACCACCATCTACACTAATCATGATAAACAAGCTCAAGTGGTTTTGGCAGTACTATTCATTAAACTAAATATGCTATGGCTGGCATAGACATTTATGTCACAGAAAGTTGATTTCTTTGTGTGCAGGTGTTTCAGAGTGCTCAGGAGCTTCTGCATGGCTATCTGGTTCACCCGGAGATCCAGGCTCAGATGTTTGCATACCTCTTCTTCTTCTCCAACGTGTCCCTATTTAACCAGTTAATGGACAAAGGTAAGAGAAACAGATATCCTCCACAGTCCCACCCTCGTCCCACTTTCCTGTTCATTAGACATCCCTCACTTGTGCGCTCAATCATTTAGTGTATGAGTGAGTATATGTGCCCTCTTGTCCTTGTCAGCATTTTGACAGGGACTAATACAGATTTGTCCTCTGTGCCCTTCTCCTATCTGCATTCTGTTCCCCCCTCCTCCTCAGCTTCCTCCTCCTTTCCATCTGGCCATCAGGGAGTTTGACAAAGAAGAGCAGAGGTGGAGTTAGATCGAGGCGAGTGTAAAAAGGGCAGGGTGCAGTGTGAGGGGATGGAATGTAGCTGAGTTGTCATGATGACCTTGCTAATTGTGCATTACTGGGTCTAAATACAGAAAGCAGTAATTTGCCGCCAGTGATTTCCAACATTTCCAGCCAGCTCACCTCATCTTTTGTCACGCACACATGAATGCACTGTGAATTCTGCCATACATCTTCATTAACTAGTGAAGACAAGAAAGATCACATCTCTGGCAAAGAGAGAAGGAGAAATACTTCTGCGTAGTGAGCCACACCACCCTCCATCTCATCCCCAAATCCATTTCCTCTCTTTCCCTTTGTCTGGCTGCCTTTTTGCCTTCAGCCATCCCTCCTTCTTACCCCCCTTTTGTCACTCATTGATATTTTGCTGCTGATGGTGTCCATGGAAACAAGGGAATGAGTTTGTAGCAGGTATTGCTGACGTTTGCACCAGGCGCTCCACAAGGCTAACACGATAGCTTATACTTTTAAAAACACAGCTTTCATCATATGACAGCCAGATCAAAGCAGGAAGCATTGTTTAGTGTTATAGATTTATTTCACTTACATTTGCAAACATGCGTAAAAGACCCATTAAAAAGCATTATCACACCTTGGTAGAGGCTGTGGGATGTCTCGTTTCTTTGAGGTCCTTCATCCTTACATAGATTACTGTACAACCAGACATAAGCCTATTACTTAGGGAGGGGCTCTCTGTGTGTGCATCCAGAACATATGGTAGAATATTGAAAGAGTAATGTGTGCGCAGTCAGCAGATTATGCTTCTAGTTCTTCCATTGTCTGCCTGAAGATTTTTCTGTTGTATGCAACTTTTGCACAGACATGTTACGAGGAAGTTTCCAGTTGGTTCATTTATTGGTGCCTCTTGTTTAATAAAAGAAAATCACAAAATGGTTACAGAAATAACTTGAATCTGACAAAAGTCAAGAAAAATAGAAAAGTTACACATTTCTCTCTAAAATTGCTTGATGGTTTTTAGGTTTTATGGTACCCTGCAGAGATTTAAGATACTAGGTTGAAGCAAATCAGCCCTAGATCATAACGGAGGCTCCTTTATGTTTCACAGTAGGGAAAATGATCTTTTATTGATAGGCTCCAGTTTTTTTTGGCTCTAAACTTGGAGCTGATGTGCCTTTTAACAATATTCCACGTTTGTCTAATCTGTCCAAAGGATATTCTACCAGAAGCTTTGTGGCTTGTCAACTTGTAGTATGGCAAATTCCAGACTGGCTTTTCTATATGTTTTCAACAATGTCTCCCATTAAGTCCACTGTGGCTTAAAACAATGACTGGTGGTGCAATCTGACTCTCGATGTTCCTTGAGCTTGAAGTTCACCTTTTATCTCTTTCGAAGTTCTCCTGGGCTCTTCTGTTACCATTTTTTTTTCTGTCTCTTTGATTTGTCATCAGTGTTCTTCCTGTTACCAAACCCAGAAGGTTGGCTATGATCCCATGGATCGTAAAGTTCGGAATAATATGAGCAGCTGTACTCACAGGAACATCAAGCTCCTCATAAAGGCTCTTATAGTCGTTACCTTTAACATGCTTGTCTATTTGTTTCTTTCTAATCTCTTGAGATAACTCTTCCTTTGCTTCATGTGGACCGTGTTGATTGTGGTTTGCACCATGTCACCAAACTGAACATTGACTACCTCTAGCCCTATGTGCAGGAATACTGACTGATTGCAAGATTGTAGACACAGTGATACTAATTAGTGGACACACCTTGATTTAGTGTGTCTCTTTGGTCACATTGTTTTAAGTCATTTCTAGATCCATCGTTTTTGTCCAGGTCTGTTTCATGGTTTTGTTTTAAATCCTATCATTTGTTCATTTTCAGGGATTTTTGTATCGGTTATTAACATAGTCAGATTGAAGTTATATCAGTGACCGTTGTTGGTTTTCTTTCGACAAATGAGGGGTACCCACAATTTTGTCCATGTGTGTATGTAATATTCCTGATTCTCCTTCCTTGACTGATTATGATTCATTTATTTATATAACACCATTTCACAATAAATCTTTGTTTTACGGTAACCTGGCAGTAGCCAGATTGATATGTGTAGAACTGAGTTGAGTTCAGTCCATCATGAAGAATGAAGTCTACCAACTTTTAGGGAATACCTAAAGTCACCCCAACATGCTTTCATTTTGTTTTCATGTTTCAATGACATAACTGCTACAGGCAAACATCAAACTCAAGATTACCATCATACTTTACATACAGAATATATATTTTACCTAAACACATTATGTATTTTATGTACATCTAAACAGATTATCTCATAACAGCTTGATGGTCAGACATTAGATTTGTAAGCTAATGGTAATCAGACAGCCCAGTGGCACCTCCGTACTGCAGCATTGCTTCCTTTGCCCCCCTATTTATTAATTTACCATTTGTAATGGTATAACAGGTTAAGGATTACACTGAGGAATTGCACGGAAGTCTTGGGCATTGTATTCAAAAGGCAAATATCTGAATGTGTCTAATGCTTTACTGAAGAGACACAGAACACCAATAATATGATAAAGTATGTTGATGTGTCCATCCTGGAGAGAAATATCAGCTATGCTGCTGCTATCAACACCGTTGTTTAAAGATGTTGGAGATCGGCCTGTTTTTCAGTGAAGTCCTGTTTCTCTGACTGAGTGGCTGGATGTGCTCTCTTCGTCTTAAGAAAGTTGAGCTCGCCTGCCTGGCTGTGTGTTTCCTGGATGGGGCCGCCTGTGGAGCTGGTTTACAGTTGCCTTTTGTATCTCTGCTTGTTACTGTATGTCTGCTTCTGTCTCCTTGAACCCCAGTGGGCCTCAGCAGATGGCCGCTCACACTGAGCCTGGTTCTCCTGGAGCTTTCTTCTGTTAAAAGGAAGTTTTTCCTCTCGACTGTCACTACAAGCATGCTTGGTGTGAGGAATTGCCTTCGAGTCAACGAGTCGTTGCAATAAGCTGGTTTTCCTTAGATAGAAAACTTTGATTCCAAAATAGTTAAAAAGTTACAACTTTTAATCAATCTGACTGTGTGATCTGGTTGAATCGTCTCTGTAAAGTGCCTTGAGATGACACGAGATGTAAATTGGTGCTATATAAATAAACTGAATGGAAATTAATTAGAGTTTAATTGTCGTTCAATGGTTCATCATTGACATTTTTGTACATTTTTGGGTGGGTTACTCCATCAGCAAAGGACTCTGTAAATATATAACAAGGTACCATACTTTTTTTTCCCTCTTTTTTTAATGATATAAAAACATTATGTGAATCTAGTGTATTTTACATAAATTCTAAACTAAACAGAATCATTGTAACATGGTGACCTAACCAGCTGGAACCTTATCAAAAGATTCAGTAATACTCTAGAATAAGCCCAGTGTGTCTGTTATGGGCCACAGAGCTAACTGACTGCTTGGGGCAAAAACTGTTATTCAACAAACTTAAATTCATGCTCCCTTTAAATAAAAGAATTCTGCTCCAGTTCTGACCTGCATTCATAGTCCTAAGCACTCAAGCATCAGCACCCCCTCTCTGTTTAGTGTGACCAGAAATTCTTAGCTTTCTATGCAATAGTTATGTAAGCTGTAACAGCAAAGAAAGCAAACAGCTAAAAATATCAGTTTTCTTCACATAATCAGTTTGTTGACCAGTTTGGATTTAACTGTGCATAGTGGCTAACCTGTCACGAGCTAGATTTATACCGTGTAGAATTCAAATTGAACTACACATATCCATATGGAAAGCCTCCTTTTGAAAGTGTTTGCAAAAGGGAGAGACATTCAGTACAATTCTTCTAGCTGATTGGATGAATAAAGTGACCCAGGCCTCCATTTGTTCTTTAAGCCAATCACAGCAGTAGTAGCAGCAGTATCATATCACATTCTAGATTTATTTTACAACTAGAAGAGTTAACTGATAAATTGAGCTCTTACTAATCTGGTTGGGAGGAACCAGCAACCATTTCCCATCCAAAAAGGTAAAAATTTCATACTTTTGCTTGTTTTTCCAAAAGAAATGCAGTATATTCCAGCTAAAAGTGGCGCAGCCATCTTTGATCCGCATCGGCTTTCCGCCTATGTTTAACAAGTTGACGTCATACACGTCACTGCATTTCATTGGTCCGACCCATTTCTGTATCGAGGCTGATGCATCTTTTGACTTCTGGCAAGATCTATTTTCAGGGGTTTGTAAATTAACAAATTTCACGACAATTTATGTTTTTCTTGCAAGGTAACATAATCGGTAGAATGCATTATTCATAGGATACCATCTGTGACACTACCTCTTCATATTCAATATGTTTGTCTGCAGTCAATATTCTGACAACAACATGCTTTTCCTACCCTAATCATAAAAAATTCACTTTATCCTAATGCTACACATTTAATGGTTGGATGGAAATCCAACCTATTGCAATGTACTTTGTTGTTCATTTAGCTCGGGCACTGAGGAAAAACTTGCAAGAAAGTTTGGCATAAGCGGTTTGGTTTGGTTTATTTTATTGTATTATGTATTTATGTTTATTATAACAAAATTCCAATAAAATTTAGCAGATATTCTATTCTGAGAAATGATATATAATGATTAAAAACCACAGTAAAACTGAATATTTTCAAAGAAGTCAGTAAAGTTGTTTTAAGCTTGTGGTTCATGCTATGACCAGGTCATGATTAGTGCTGTGTGTCCCAGTCCTGGGTTGTTTCTTCCTTTGAAACCAAGACTCTAACAGTACAAGATTCTTTAGGAATAAACGGTTTGAGATGGTGACACTGTTTTAGGGCGTGAGGAGTAATTCATCCCTGCTCACTTATCTACTTTCATAACTTAAATTTACTTTTAGTATACGTTATCAGCTTTAGGGAAGACAACAAAGCTCACTCCGTTCTTTTTACATGTTGACAACAACAAAAACACATTAATTTTTTTGAAAACTTTATGGGAATGTAATTATTGTTTGTTTAATTCTTGCTCTGAAACCTGATGAAATTTGCCCTTGAAGTACTCATTCACTAAAACAGGCTTAGCTGTCCTGAAGTGCTCAAAATGGATTGCCAATAATTTGCTGGCTGGCTCCATACCATCCGTGACTAAAGCACATTACTGAACTACTTTTACAATATATTTCATCTTGCTGTTATAGTTATGTTGTTGTTGGTGGTTTTTTTTTGTTTTTTTTTGCAATTATATTGCAAATGCTATTAATTGTTGAGCCCTAGCAGCCTCCCTTCTGTCAGTGAGCCCCAGGGCAGCTGTGGCTACAATGTAGCTTGTCATCATCAGTGTGTGTGAGTGTGTGTGCATGAATGACTGAATGTAGCGTAAAGTGCTTTGGCCAAGTCCTCTGACTTGAAAAAGCACCATATAAGTACAGGCCATTTACCCTTTTTCAGCTTTTACCAAGACTGCAAGTTTTCCTAAAGGGAGGGGAACCATCTGTCATTCAGCTTTACAGTGATGAGCTCAGATAACTTAAATATGTATTTTATAGAGTGTGAACACTCAGCCTGCCATAGCGAAAAACTCTTAAAGACGCCATATAAGTAATAGTATTTATTGTTAACCTGTAAAACTCTTTATAAAACTATGCCTAATGCATTGATGGTAAAGCCTATGTTAATAAAAATGTAAGAGTCTGATGTATCTCCTCAGTGTTTCCATATATAGAAGAGATGGAGAGGAAAAGACTCCTATCCTTTGAAGAGCTATAATTACCATGGTCTATTAAACTGTTTTGTCTGTAATTAGTTTAGATGAGGACAGATGTTACCAGATGTCTTTCTAATAAAAGTTCAGAAACCTGCTACATTCATGTATGTCCAAAATAGGTTGTTTTAACTAAGTAGCTGCACTTCAAGTAATATAAATTACTGAACAAGTTTTTTTGGGGGGTTAAAATAACCCGTACATCAATCTGTCCATCCATCCAATCTATTCAATACGTCCAGTCCATCTATCCATCCACTATGCATTGTAGAGACATTGGGAGTCTTGCAACATTTTTGTATTGTTGTTGTAAAATTCTCTTAATTTTTCTTCCCACCGTGAGCTCCTACGAGTGCGCCTCATCAGATTGAACAAAAGATCTTAATTTGAGTTAACTGCATAAAGGATCCTCATAAACATGAGGCATTCCACCTGTGTGTAAGCGAGCATGCGTTAAGAAGATTAGCAAATCTACATAATTACGGCTTTGATAATGCCATATAGGCCTATGACTTCCCACGCTTGTCAGACAGTGTTCAGTCACAGAAATGGCATTAAACTTTACCAGTTTGGAGATCAAGGTTCTGGTGACTGAGAGGTGAGCAGAAAATTAAACGACAAGTAAAATAAAAATATTTTAAAAATTGCTTAATGATTTCTCATCATCCAACACAACACAGCATTTTATAAAATCTGCTTTTAATTAGGCCATTCACCAAAACATTTATTTGTTGACAGAATGTACTCATCATTTGTCCACCTTTGAACTTATCAACCAACAATTTGTTATTTCGTAATCAGAATGTCTAAAAATTTGTAGATCAAAGAAAATTAAAAATCAGTTGCAGAAGCTAAATCAGTACATCTCCATAACTTGGCAACACTTGGTAGCAACACTCTCCACTTCCTCCTGGGAGAACTTCAAGATAAACTGGGCCATAAGTTGCAAATATCGCCCTTCCAGTAAATGTGGGTCCTCTTTATGTTTTTTCCAAAGACGAACGTAATTGAATATCAGCAAAAGAAGGCACTGTTTCCTAATTGAATGCCACAATGACCCCAACCGCCTGGATAAAAGATCATGTCTAACCTAAAATGCAATAAGATAGAAGTTAGAAGATGTTTTGTGGGCCAACATCTGAAAATCCAGACCACTATGATAGTGGTTGGTCATCTGTATAACGTTGTGCTTCTGATGATTTCAGAAGCACATTAGATGAAGAAAGCTAAATGCAATTTGCGAAACTATTACACAAGATGCATGCATCTTACATGTTAGATTTAATGTTATCTCTTGGTTAGATTATCACAAAGCTTTCTCCCAGTTCTTTGATTGCATAAAAAAAGGAGGGACTGCCGGGGCAGGGATGCAGACTGGAGCTGGTTTGCTATGCAGTCAGCCGAGCTAGTCTGCGGTACCGCATTTATATTCTGCAGGCAGTTAGTGGGTGTTGTTACTGTTCACCTACTTCAGTCAGAACATAATTAAAGATTTATGTCGGTATTTTCGTGAAAGAAAACACAGTAAGACATACATTCACATAAGCGCACAGTGTGTGTTTGATCATGCTTTTCTCTGACACAGGATTTGCCATACTGTTGTAAATAACCTACCAATGAGACCAGTGCGTGTGTTTTTGTGTGCACAGGTCCAGCCCGGGGTTGGTTCCAGCGCTCCAAGGCACTGCAGATTCAGGCGTGTTTGCGAATGGTCATGGAGTGGGCAACAAAATCTGGTCTTGGACATCTGGCTGAAAAGTTCTTCACCAAACTCAACAGTACTGTCGCTATAGTGGCTATGCCCCCACAGCAGCTCACTCAGGTGACCAACACAAACATACCTACTGTACGTCGATGTATCACTTTTATTCCTAAACAAGTCAGCATCATTATGGGAATTTCACTTCTATTCTTTGAAGTCCACCAAAAGTTTTACTAACAATTATCTGCTATGGTCGCTTCATTTAGTTTTTTTTCCTTTGCTTCATCTACAGTTGAGTTGGAGAGTGTTGTCCAGTGAGCACCCATCTCTGAAACCAGTCCAGCTCCACAGGATTCTAACACAGTACCAGCTTACAGCAGAGATAGGCCCTGTCCCTGTATGGCAGCCCAGTAGTGAGGATGAAGCCTATATATACAGATCAGGTGTGTGGATTGAATAATGAATGACATAAAACCACCTTTTGTGCATGTTTCTTCTAGTATGTCAGTGATTTATCTTTGATGACAAGCTTCAGGTCTTTCATTTAGGAAGACCAACTTGCTATCATCCAAATCTTTAACTCCTTTAATCAGATTCAAGTTTGAACTTTGGTCCTCTTCATAAATTTCTTAAATCAGTTTTGGTCAGAACAAAGATTATAGTAAGAATAATTACAAACATTGTAGTAAATAATGATTACCTTAAAGCTAAATTTATCAGTGTTATGGATTATTTAGAGCTTGACACTATAAAATCATCTGTGTGATCAGTTGACCTCCTGGAGAGCTTCGAGAACCACCCGCCAATCGTCCTGCCGAGCTCAGGGTTCCGAGTGGACCTGGACAGCGAGTGTGTGGAGGATAGCATCTACAGACAGCTGCTCTACGTCCGTCACTACCTGTGGGGGCTGCGGACCAAGCCTCAAACTCACACCAGTGCTCCCTGTGTGCAAACACAGTCCAATGGAACCAATACAGCCGATTGGCCCGACGTTCAGGTCAGAAAAAAAAATTCACGGGTTACGCACGCCTCACACTAATCCACGTCATGTGGCTCAGCAGCTGCGGTTCTTGAAATTCTTCATAATCCCACAACTAAAAGACAAAACCTTCTACTCCGGCCAACCCTGACTCACTCACACAAACCGAGACACGATTAAATCATAGTTAATCTGATTAGCCTTCAGGATGTCTAATTAGTGGGAATGGCTGACTAGCCCATAATCTTCAGTGTTACGGCACCCTAATATTTACACACAAGAGACCCACATAGTCACAGATATACCAGGGGGAAGCTTTCTAAATAAAAAGATTATAAATTGAAACTAATCATATCAACTGACAGCTTAGTTTTAGAAACAACGTGAGCTCTGCATCAGTGTTAAGACCTGAAACTCAATTGCATCCGTCATTCTATTAACTTTGTCCTCTAAAGTCTTTCATTCTCTTCACAACACAGAGGGAGCTGCTTCCTCCAGCCCACAGCAGCCCCCGGTCTGGGGGGGCTGGGGACGAGGTGACCGCAGAGGAGAGAGGACGAGACAGACCCCCGGGCCAGCCACAAACCCACAGCCTCAGAAGGAACGGGACCATTCACCATCCTCGGACAGCAAATCCAGACACATCCTGCCTCCTGACCCCACCCAACACCCCCCTATACCCAGATGGTGGAGGGGGCGGAGTGCCTGGCCCCATCCTCAGCTCTAGCATTCAAGCCAACGGCTGCTCAGGCAGAATGATCGCAGAATGTAAAAAGACAAACGGACTCATCGCAAATGGACTTGAAGGTAAAATTACAGTGGCACATTTCCATTGAAAACTATTTACACCCCTGGAACAACTTTCTTCATTTTGCCATATAATGTTATGTATTTTATTGGAATGTAATGTTTTCCACCAATATAAAATACTACATTTTCAAGTGGAAGGAAAGGAAAAAAGGGTTTTCAAAACTTACAGATTATAAATAGTTACATTTGTCGAGACTTCCTGAGTTAGTATTTTGCAGAACCACCTTAAGCATTTATAAAGCTTTTAGCAATGGGAGTTTATTTCAATCAAGAATAAAACGTCTTAAGAAAAAAACCCTTTCAATCATTCGTCCTTTTCAAAAACATCAAACTCAGAGCATATGTAAAGCTGTTTTCTAGGTCTTGCTACAGATTGTAAAGATTTGATTAGACTTTCCTAGACTATTCTATCATCGATTGTCTCTGATGTTAACATTTCAATTGTAATAGGACATATAATTTTCTGTAGGTTATTGTCCTCCTGGAGTGTGAGACCCTGACTCAAGTCTTTAACACGTTTTCTGTTAAAGTTCTTGTTCATCCGTTCGTCCGTCCACCCATCCAAACAATTGGTTTGATCTAATTGACATGAAACCTGATCAGCTGACCACAGCATAATCCTGCCAACACCCTGTTACACAATAGTGAATGCGGTGCTCTGGTTGTTTAAGTGAGCAGCCATGTTTTGTAAGTAAGGAGTTGTGAATACTTCTTCCATGTCACATGATGAACTTAGCAAAGCTCCATTAGATGTTTAAAGTTTGTAACGTTGAATTGTCAATTCTGATTTATACTTCTCCACAACATTATCACTGCATGTTTTTTTTGGACCTTTAAGATTCAGTCATCTCTAGAGAAACTGAGGCCAGCTGTGTATGCAGTGAGATTAAAACACAAACAGGGAGGGACAAGAAGCTAAATTTATACATTGCTTATATTTCAGGTTTTATTTTGTAAAATATATTATTGAAACCTGTGTTTTATTTTCCTTCCACCTGAAGATTTTTCTCTTGTTTTTGTCCAAATGTTAAAGTCCCAATAAAACACATTAAAACTGTGGTGTATGGTAAACGATCAAGTCAAGTTACTAAGAGGAAGTTCAGCACAGTGTGTCCCTGAATAGCTGTTTGCTAACTTTATATTGCATTTTTTTTTTTCACACGTAGACATTACAGTAATGCCCTTTTTTTAATGCCAAGTGGGATCTGCGATTCTGAAAGAAACAGCTGTGATTAGAACAGTAATGTGATAAAAGCCATAATGGGTCTAATTTATGGCAAGAAGCTGAATGCTTCATAATAATGGATCTGAACATTTATATAGATTCTTTTAGTGGAATTTTGGTTCAAACATTTTTATAAGTTATAGCCTGAATATAAATTATATATATGATTATTAACTTAGATTAATCAATTTAACTATTCTATAACGTATATTCAATATTTTATGAATTAAATTAAAGCTAGATGACTTATGCGCATATAATGGGTCCAAGAAAACTAAAATGTAATCTAGATTCAGACACAGGGTTTGGGTCACCTGAGCTAGCTCTATAAAACACTTTCTATGAAGCCTCTGTATAATTTTGCTCTTTGACGATAAGTCAGTGCCTGATCACCTTTAAAATAAAATTAGTTTATTACCTGGAACTGAGCTGGAAAGATAAATCTGAACACATCAGATGAGATTCATTTCCATCGCTGCATTTGTGATATGTCTCCCTCTAGTGGCCAATAATGAGCAAATACACCTTGACTTTGATCTTATTCAAACTTAAGAAGTGTGGACCTGGTGGTTTCCCCAACAAAATAGAACATTTGTAACTTATGATGGGTAAAGTGATAAGCCAAGAAATAAGGTGCAGTATTATGACCACTGTCCTCAACAAACAAACAATTTATTAAGATATATTATGTTTCTGTCTGTTGTTAAACATATGGGTAAAAGATTATTAGATTCAGTATTTCTCTAAGATTTCTTGACTTTTATGTTCTGCACCTTACCCTGTAGTGTGATGTTGAGATCCTGATTTACATCACCAGCTGTTCTTCCAAATAACCCTTTAGTAAAGCAGGTTTATTATCAATGGCCCTTTCCTCACTCCATCTTCAAACCCAAAGCCTGGGCCCTAAACTTTATCCCATCCTCGTATTGATTTCAGCTGTGGTAACCTCTGCATGCTGTAGCACACCATGTGTGTGTGATCAGTGCAAAAGAAGAGACCTCTAGACTTGAAGCATGTTTGTGTTAGAGTAGTTCATCAGCTACACAGCTGCATGGTTGTCCTCTGTACAGTAGGATGTGTTATGTTTGTCCAACCCCACAGCAAACCCCTGTTTGTGTGTTTTTGTGCCTTTGGATGTTTGTATCCTCTGCAGGATGTATTAGTGGGTGTGAGTTTCCTTTCCCTGTCTCCTCCCCTGGCGCTCCCTCCCTTGCTGATGACTTATGTGTGGTGTTTGTAGTGGAACTCGACAAGGGACCCTACGGACTGGGAATGGGACTCATAGATGGCCTGGTAAGTTCCCTAACATAAGCTGTTCCCCCATGTTCAGGAATCCAATATCTGATCATTAAAACTTATCAAATTTTAGAACACTGTATCATTATAGTGTACAGTTGATTTTATAGCATGTTTACAGTTGAATCCCTTAGAAATGCTGCAGACCTTTCATGCAAAAAGTGAGCCAGTATAAATTTTTGGAGCACCTCAGAATCAAGTTTATTGTAGGTTTGCACTTACAAGGAATTTTACTTGGTGTTGATGATACAGACAAATTAGATATATATACAGAATACTGAATCTAAAGCTATATACAATATAAAACATACTATATACTATATACAATGTATAGTTATATACTATATACACAGTAGACTGTGCGTTAATGTAACTTATGAGGTCTGGAGATGCTACCTTGGTGTAGCTTGTAGGTCCTGAACGGGGAAGGGAGGGAGAGAAGCAGTGTCAGTGTTACAGGAGTCTCTGGGCCTTGTTGATAAGGCTGGTAGCAGATGGGAAGAAAAACAAGAGTGCACACCAACACACCAAGGCAGCCGTCCGCCGCGCCCTCTTAGAATTGATCAGGTGTGCAAAAACCCTTCAATTTATTTTTCTAATTGCAGTAGCTTAATTTTACAATAGAGAATAAAACAACTTCATAAAGGAAGCCAATTTATATTGAGATCTAACAAATGACCACAGCTTTAGTACCATTCTTTTTAATACAGCACAACCTATACTTTAAAATCTCAAAAAGTTCAACATCTTTTATACAAGATTAACATGCTTTATAAAGAGGCTTTGGAAGAAGGTTGACTTTTTCCACCTGGTGAATCAGGTCTGTTTTGGTCTGGTCTTAAGTTTCAGATCAGTGACACAGCAACTACTGATTTTGTTGTAGTTCCCTGGTTAAACTAGGTATTTGAAATATTACTTGATGCCACACAGTCTATCAAGGCTTTTATAATGTAGGAATACAGTCACAGCACTACAGTAAGCAATGCTGCCTTTCTATATAATTCTCCTTTTAACCCACCGGTCGCCAAAACATTCAGTCTTAATGTAATTAGACCAAAGCACAATTCACATTTAAACAGGATGGTAAAACATGGAAAGGTTTTTCCTAGCATGCGTCCCAAATAACTGTTTAGCATGTAGATGTCTAATAGGTGCATTGATCAAAATATTAGAATTTATCTACTGGATAAATGTCCTTAAATTGAAGGCTTTCATAGTGTTTAGAGTAAGAGGTTTTTCTATTGTTATACAAGGTAAAATTACTTTACAGCTACTTAAGTCATTTTAAAATAAATTTAATATATCACAGTCCTAATCAGCTTTAAAATTGTAATATTTGCATTTTAAAACAAGAAATTGTCTAAGATGTAAATCATCAATGGAAAAGGGTTATACATATCAGTGAACATTATTCCTTTTTAGGCGCAAATCATTTGCGCCATGTATTTAGCCAAAACTGTAGTATAATCATCTCGTCATGCTCCACACTTTTGGCAGCACACCCCCCTTAATGCTCCTGGCATTTACATCCGGACCCTTATACCAGACGGGCCAGCTGCATCCGACGGCAGGCTGAGGATAGGAGACCGCATCCTGGCAGTGAACGGAACCAGTCTGATTGGAGCGGACTACCAGAGGTAAAAAAAAGGATCTGATGTGTGAGCACGATAGCGGCGGGTAATTGTGATGACAGAGCGAGCCGTCTCCCCTCAGTGTTGATCTTACTCTGGTGTCAACCTCTTAAGCGATTGATTGGTTCAAGCTCACAAAGTGATGTCCTGTTATATTCCCTCTGTCTCTGCTGAGCTTCATGTAACCAGACTCTTTTCTCCTCCCTACCGTTTGTGGCCCCGACAGCGCGGTGGATCTGATCCGTCTGGGAGGGGGTCGCCTGCGTTTCCTGGTAGCAAAGTCGGACCCCGAGGTCTCAGAGAAGATCAGTGCCTCCTCCTGCTGACCACTGCCCAGCAAAGCGAGCGCGACGTTGCAGACACAGATGAGCAATGTTCAGCAGGGCTCACGCCATTTTTGCTTTCATGTAAATATGAAATTTGGGAATTCAGGGTTTGTGAAACATTGAAGGGATTTTGATTAATCAGGTCCGTACGGCCTCATGTTCAAAGCACAGCACATTCTCCTCCTTTTGTCAATTTTTTAAGAGCCCTGATTCTAGGTGTATTCATTGATTGCTACTGTTGCTCTGAAATAATCCATGTGACATAAACTGATGAATGTCTTTCCAGTTTTAAAAAGCACTTGATGAGATGCTTTTGGAGAGGAATGTTTTTATAAACCTGTTTAATAGAAGTTCCTGAGACGCCATCAGTCAACTCTTTGAACCAAACCTTTGTGATTGAACGTTTACTTTTTGTACCTGGCTTTGGATGTAAAACAGAACAGATTCCCCCACCTAAAAGTCCTCACTGGACTCCACCTTCACTAATTGAGCTGAATCCTGGAAACCTAACGCCTAGCGGAAAGGCTCAGCTCTATTTGTCATGTGTCAGGCTGTAGCCTCAGGTTCTCAGTGCTGGTGTGTAAACGGTGTATATAGCTGTAAATATTTCATCACTCAGAAAAAAAACAGAATGCGTTTTGGGAATTACTGTCGTTTTGTGACGGAAACTAATGAAAAGCTACTGATGGGAACTGTTCTCAGAAATAATGGAAATGTAATTGTTGGATTGTTTGTTTTTGTAATTTATGTATTTATTTCTTGCTCTTTAATACTGGTTTGTACATTACAGAAACTTCTTTGGTTTTTACATTCTGCTTCAACAAAAATACTTATTAAAAAAAAGGAGGTATTTATGTAAAGTTTGTTTTCAGCATTTAAAGGAAAATCAGTGTCAATCTTCTGATACCATAAATAACTTTGTAGTAATTTATTTTACCTGAAGGGAGGTCAGATTCACTGTTACAAATCTGAAAAATATTGTCTAAGGAAAAATAAGAAGTTGTTGGTAAATATTTCAGCCTTTGACATTTTCCTTTTTTCTGGGTAATACTGTCGCTCAGTTTAATGAAGTAAAAGCAAGGACATCGCTGAGGTTGTCTTCACATTGGCTGAAGGCGATTTGTGATCAAAAGAGAAATTAAATTAACAGATTTCTATGGTCGTTTTTTGCGATGAGGCAGAATAGACAAAGATTTTCACAGAACATAAAAAAGTAAGCGTCAATAAGTCTTGAAATGAAAAATGTTTTCTCCACTAATTAATTTGCTTTTAGAATGTAAGGTTAATGGACAGCTATATTAATTTTGGCTAGTCCTAAATATTAGTTCTTATATATATATGCCAGATTTGGTGATATGTTGTCCCCAAACCATCAATTAAAATACCATAAAGTAGTTTTTTTTTTTTTTTGGCAACCTCAAATTACATCATTCTAATACCAGACTCCCTGCTTCATGGATCAGACAGCGTGCCCCATCGGAAGGCATCCTTTGCTCACAAGGAGCTACCTCTATATGTTGCAGTAACACCAATATGATTAACAGGGTCTGATCTGTTGAGTAGAATTGCATGATCATTAAAGACTCTGCCTGTCATAGCAAAATGCCAAATGTCGAGTGAGATTTTAAAAGTCCAACACTTGATGTCTGAGGTCAAATTCTAGAATATTTCTACACTTGAAGGGACAAAATGCTGGAACAGACTCAGTTCAAAAGCCAAAAAGCAGCAGTATTGGAGCATCAAGCCATTTTAAGTCTTAACCCAAATGTCTGCAGTTGGAGATTTCAGAGCGTGGAGATGCTTTCCAATCTTCAAAATAAAACTGTTTTTTCCTTTTGATAATCTTTTCATACTTGTGTTAAAGTGAGGCCATGACTCAAATAAATTAAATCTACCTGAGGTGAACTATTGATGTTTATCAGAGGCCCTATTCTGTCTTATTTATGCCTCTGACAACTGGGACTATTGAAAAAGGTGAGGTAGTTTTCATTAAAAAAAAAAAGTGCAATTAAATCATTAAGCGCTTAAAGATTATTCTGGCCTTCTACATGGTTAAGTTACAAACTGGACACCGGGACAAAATTTGTTGGAACGTGATCTTTCAGGCTGATTAGACTATTTGCAATATGTCTTCATAAACATGTTCTTTTTCTCTTTAGGGAAATTTATTTTATCCAGTTTGTATGACCTCATCTCATGCATGTATAATCTGGGCATTTATATTAAGAATGATAAACAACAATAAAGATTGTTGGATTCTTTGACATGAAATCAATTTGTTTGAACAATTTTTCTGCCTTTTTTCTTACATAGAAGACAAGTTGTTAGATCAATAAGAATTGTTTTAATTTGTGCTACACATTTTAAACAAATCACAAACACAGGGACATTAAAAAATACACATACCTCTCTATTTCCATGTTTACCTGTTGATGACAGCTGCTTATACACATAGCAAAAATATTTCTTTCCAAAATAAGAAAACTTTAATTAGCTTTGTTATTTAGCAGATAGCGCAGCATACAATCATAATGCAACCGTCTTTTCTTATTGTGCAACAACAATCACTGAAATTTTGAGTCTGAAGCCTACAAGAGGACATTCAGAGGTGCTAAAGGCAGAGTGATGAGAAAAAAAGCGGGGGAGAAAGTGCTAGAGAAAATCGAATTATGCAGCGTCTGTGACAGGAAACTAAAAGAAAAACTGTCAATGAAGAGAGCGAGAAAAGCAAGCTGGAAGTAGAGAATATATCAGAAGTATTGTGAAGAAAGAAAGCTGAGAACAGTTATAATTCCTGGTCATGAGTTGGTCCCGCCCTTTTTTTATTTCTAAGAAAACTTTAGCAAGTACACTGATGCAGCATAACTGCTGCCGTCGTAGTGTTGCTGATCTTGGACTGTTGAAGCGCTATGTTAGCCTAAAACAGTGAAGCCGTCTACAGGCTAAAATGACATTTCTGAAAAGTAGAAATATTTTAAGGCTTTGATTATTACAACAATGCCTATTTGTGCTAAAACAAATCTGCACAGAGGCCGTTTCACTTCTCCCCATACCACTACACAAACCAAACAACTGGAAAACAATCAGTTTGTCTACATTAGGTTAGCATTCCACTTCAGTCAACCTCCAGTAGCTGCCTCTTTTTGCCCCTCTCTGCACGACACTGCCGCCCCGGTTCATCTGATCCACCTGAATCTGAGAAGCTTCATGCTGAGAAACTGCTGGCTCGTCCTTCCTGGATTTCCCCAACATCTGCTTTTTTTTTTTATTATTTTGCTTGACAGAGAAGGCAAGAGGTATTACATTCTGGTCTTTGCCTGAAAGTTAATGTCCATCTTTTTAATATTTTGAAACACCTGTTTTGCTCATTTCACTATCTAAGAATATATCTTATTTAAGAAAAGAAAACTGAACAAAAAATAAAACTAGTTTCAGTATCCAAGGGGTCATAAGCCTGGTTTTGGGTATGTGCTGCCATCTTCCACAGGCTTCTATATCCTCTGAGTTTTTGTATTTAAAGCAGGCACTAACTAACCAATGTAGCAGTCAAGATTGGCTCTTTGGCTTGAGTTACATCATGGCGCATTAGATACATCTCCAACGTTCAGAAGGTAAAGTAGTGCTTAAACATTTGCATATTAGGCCTAACTATCCTCACTATCCTTTAATAGGAGAAACAGGCTGAAGCCAATTTACTTGCTTTTTAAAATGTAGAACATATATACATTTTAAGTCGCTCTGACCATAATCTATTCATTTCTCTTCCAACAAGCTGGCTGCACCTACAGTCACATTAATGTGAAAAGGCAAAACATTTAGAAGATGACAGAGAGGATGCCCATTGGATAACTGGAGCGTGCGACAACTTAGGGTTCATTGCCGAGGCTCATGGGTTTGAGACGACATTGCAACAATAACAGGCTGCTGGGCAGATGTAACTTGATGCTGAGCAGATTCAGTCTCTCCTTCATCCTCCATCTTTGGCCGCTTGGCCGGCGACTCACAAGAGGCCTCTCCACTAGGCTGCCTGCTCACCAGCACCGGGGGGGAGCTGGATGCCTGGGCTGCTAGGATCTGTAGAGGACTGTTCAGGCCTTAGAAAAGAATCAAAAAAGGGGAGAGGGGGGGTTAGTTGTATTAAGGCTTGGTTCAGTCCAGATACAAATGTCCTTTCTGAATGGCAACAAAGCTGCTAATGTGACCAAAACAAACAGGATGAGTGACACTTGTCTGCATTAGCTTAGCAGTCTGAACACGGTCTGTATCAGGCCTTAATGTACATCGAACCGTTGTAACTCCCCTTAAAAACACAAAATAAAAAAACTGACATTTACCAGGGGACAAAAATAAAAGATTTATTTTTTAGATCTAGCATTGATTTGAATATTTTTTCAACAGATGCCAGATTCAGTTTCTCAGAAAATGTAAATTTTACATACGATCAATGAAATGACTCCATACAGAGATGTCATTTTTGGGATTACGTTGAATGGGGTGATCACAGCATGATAACGAACAGGTGGGTAGAAGGAAAAAGTGTGGCAGAAAAAAAACACTTTTGGAGGATGCTGAAAATGAAGCAACACACATTCAATCATTTGAGATTGCCAAGTCAGAACCGTAAAAGTGAGAAAACGTAAGGTACATTTACATAGACACCGAAGGCCTGATCAGATCAAAAATGTGTCAACATGTCAGACTGAAGATTCTAATCCGATTCAGTCCAATAGTAAAGGAACTTCATTCCGACTGAGAGGTGTTTTTTTTTTTTTCCTGATAGGTGTGCCTGTTACCATCCATTCAGATCTTTGGAGTAAAATCATCTACTCTGCACATGTGTACAACATCATTATGACATGTTCCTCTTTACTAGCCTTCATCCACTTTCTCCTGGTTCTCCTTAGTGGAGGGGGTGGCTCTAAATGTAATGTGTGGATGAACATGCCATCAGGTACCGTGGATACCTTAACTTCACTAAAAATGAGGAGGCAAAGGTACATCGTGGGAGAAAAAAACAACATTAACAGACACAACTGAACAACTGAAGGAAAAGTAATGTGCGCGACATAAGAGTAGCTACAGTTGCATATAAGGGGGCAAGTAAAGACAGGAAGGTTCTTCTGCTAAAGCGTTTCCAGAGCATTAGACAGTTCAGTGTATGTTCAAATGATTTGAGCTGATCAAAAGCTTGGTACATATATACATGCGTCATGATCGGATCATTTCGTTTAGTGTCCATGTAAACAGATTTAGAATTTCTGGGATTTAGATCTGATCTGAGAAATGTTGTGCATGTATTGTTGCAGCGATTAAAGCAAAAAGGGTCCTGATCGTACCGTGTGCAGAACATGGACACTTTTTAACAGGCCAACATTTGTGTCAAAAATCTTTTCTCATCGTTATAGGCTCCTCAGATTTCCTGAAAAGTCTATTTTGTGTTTTTAATCAGCCCTAAGAAATTTAAATACATAATTACTGGTGTGGGATATATTTACTGTAAACACTCCCCTTTTGTCAAATTTAATCCCTGGAATCTGATTGAGATTGAGATCTGCCTATAGAAACAAAACTTACCAGATGAATTAGCAAAGCTGGTTGCTGTGGAAACAGCAGTAGTGGTGTGCTTGCCATTCTGGGTAACGGGGCGGACAGGCAGTTGGTGCAGACCTGGGGTGATGTAGCGTCCGTCTCCAGCTTGCACCACACTATCCAAGGTCTGGATCACCAGCTCTCTGTTCTGCTGGGCTTCTAAAGATGAAATGAAAGAGGTTGAAGCCCTACATCAAACATTCAGTGACATCTAAACTAGATTGGCAGATTTATCCTCCCGCTCTTCTGATTGGCTCTAAACAGGGCCATGTGGTCGTTAAGTAAACGTGTGATCTGATGATGATTGTCTGATAAAAAGTACCTTTAAAAATAAATACTTTTACATAGGTATTAAAAAACTTTGAAAATAAGCACATTTCTCTGTCACTTTTTAGCAGTCTGTTACATAATAATCATGAACATTTTTATACATTGTGTGCAAAAAAAAAAATTTATAAAAAAAAAAAGACAGAAATTCAACAGTTTACATGTATTTGATCTGCATGTGTTTGACCAAATGAACCAAGTAAAATAATTTAACTTTTCAACAACAGTGTAAATGAATATGGTTAACTCAGAATGGACATTTTCAAACCATAACAATATAATAAAGAATCTAACTGCATCAGGCGATAGTTGAGCATGTAAAATTTAGATTTTACATTTTATGTTAATACAGAGAATTAACTGCGTATTGTGTCCATTTTATTTTTCACATTCCAACTAGTTTGGATCTATTGGATATAATTAAAGCATGTATTTCTCTTCTTATGATTTTCTCCTTGCGGCGGCGCCACAGCCAGTCATCGGTCTCACTCTAACCCTTTCTTCCTCTCTCCTGCCTACTAACTTTTGCCCACATTTCCTCCACCCAGAAATCTCTTATTTTGTCTTAGCAGGATCAGCTTCAGCATCCTTCTCCAGACGTGCTCTCCATCTTAATCTGGTCTCTTTGGTTTTATTCTCAAAATATTTAATGTGAGCTGCCCCTCTCATCCTCCCAAAGACACCCATAAAAACCTTTCGCCCTGCCTCTGTTGTTAAACTTGGATGCAAAGATTTGTCAACACAATTGATTACAACAATTATGAAAAAAACATCAAAACTCCATGCTTTAAAGCTGCATTCTAAAAAATACATAAACAGATATTGTTGAGTGAATATTTTAGTCTCAGTGCTGAGCATTATGGAGTTCACTAATGGGGCTGCAGAGGGCAGTGTAACACCAGTTGGGTTTCTTGTATATATATAAAGACAAAGAGAAGGTGGCATATATGCCATTGGTGCACAGGTCCAGTCCAACTGCAAGTACTTTGCTAAATGATTCTGAGACATCGACCAACAGGCTGATTAAGCTCATCCAGAGCAGCTTTACGCTACAACGGAAGGAGGTGGATCTCATTCTGTGATGACCTGCTGCTTTAGAGACTCTAATGGCACCTGCCTGAAGCTGGCCCTGCTATTTTTATTATTTTGCAGGGGGAGACAATGTGACTCTTTAATGACTTTTTTTAACCTTTAAATTCTTTGCAGAAATTAACAAAAATGGTGGACACGTAGTTCTGGTTGGGAAACATGTCCATAAGAGAAACAGGCCAGCAGCATCACAGATCCTCCACTGTGCAAAACACCATGAGGTGCTTTTCAACATAATTAATTTCATGCTAAACCAACTGGAACATTTGCTGCCAGAAAGTTCAGTCTTTGTCACATCTGACTGAAGTAGTTCCAGTTCAAGTCCAGGCAGAATTGAGCAAACTCTACATGTTTACATTTGTGATAGTGAGATGAATGAGCAGCTTAAAATATAACATCAGAAAATGTTTATTTAGTTTATGTTTAGTTATTATATTTCAATATGCTCTACATTAAATAAAAAGAAAATACTTTAATAAAATCTTCTAACTTTACCTCTAATATCGTTGCTCTCCAGTCCTCCAACAGTGCTGTACCCATTAGGGGGGTTGGAACATGGAGGGGCGCTGGTCACCACCCTCAGCATGGTGACAGAGGACTGAGGGGCGCTTTGAAGCATGTGAATGGGCTTCAGGACGGTGGGATGAGGGGGAGCGGCCATGATGACAGGCTGACTGCTGACTGGAGAGCCTATTAAGAGACAGTTTCACTCATTTTGCTCACGTTCAGATCCTAAGAGTATTTTGTGTGTCTCTATACATGCTCACCTGGGGCGCTTTGAGAATACCTATACTCTGGCACAGATGCTAGTTTGCTGGCCAGCTGCTCATGGTGGTCATGAGGGATAGGAGACCCCTCTCTGCTTAGACATTCAGGAGTCTGCAGCCCACTGGATGGGGGGGACAGAAGCCCCTGATGGGTTGGAGATGCAGGTGCACTCCTGAAACAAAAAGCAAAGGAGAAGGAAACACAACTGCATTATTGACAAACACCCTTAAAACATCATGAGCCCTCTGTTGCTGGTGTCTTCCACTAAAACACAACCTCAAGACGAGACTTACTTGGTTCTGTCCAATCAAATGACAGCAAGTGACAGAAGCAAGACAAAGGGGAGAAATGATTAACCCCCCTCTCTTCAGGGTGTATGTTTCTGCCACTGGCAACAGCAAATGAACCTTAGGGACTGTACCTTGATGACAAAGGTCCGAAAGGAGTTCTGAAGCAAGCCACTCCTCTCTGCCTTCTTTTCCTAAAGGACTGTTCCACCAGCTTGCTCTCAGAGGCAGAATCAATTCTCCAAAAGCTTCCTTTTCCAGGCTCATCCTGAGAGCGGGCCACTTTCAGGAAGTAGCGGTTCAAAGACAGATTATGTCTTATTGAGTTCTGGATGAAACACACAAAACCGATTGTCAAGAGACAACAATGAGCATCAAAGACCTTAAATAAACTGGTTTACAAGCAAAGACATGTTTGGAAATTCTCTAATAGATTCCTTTTGGATGCAGAGTAAATCTACATCCAGATAAATTAGCATATTGTTGAGAACTTAATATATTCCTATGATTTAATTAAGACTTGGTAGTAACCCTGTCTACCTTTTCATCCCCATCAGCACTTTTTCCCTCCACTAACCTTTCAATAGCATCCTTGCTTTCTAATGAAAGACCTACACAGTTAAAAGAAGAGAGGGAAAGCTTGGAATAGACAATGTTCGCCATCTTCTCCATCACTGTTTATACATTTAAATAAAGCCATGCTTCTGTAGCCAGATTCACTTTTTAATCATTATTATTGGTCTGGAAATTTGAGTTTTTATTCACCATAGGCCAGAATCATTTAAATCAAAATAAAACACTTGAAATATCACACCCTGTGTAACAAATCTGTTTGCTCTCTAAACCAAAGTCCTGAAACTAATTTACTCTCCAACTATATTCATATATATTAGCATAAAGTCTTCTGTGGACAGTATAAGAGAAGCGTACCTGCCAACCCTTGTCTGCAGTGCGATAGTAGGGGTAGTGTTTGGTGATGTGGGCATAAATCCCACTGAGAGTTAGTTGTTTGTCTGGAGCCGAAGAGATAGCCTGGACTATCAGCTGTGCGTAGGAATACGGAGGCTTGGACTCATCCTAGAGGATCGAGAAACAAAACCCGACAACCATCTCATCCACTTTAACTGCACAGTTTTCTTCGAAGGATATCATTTATTTTTACCTTGGGACTGTCTCCTCCCACGGACTCCACACGCTGCTCACCTCCCCCAGCTCTGTGCTCAGCAAGATTTCGCCCACGCTCAGATACAGCCTTCGCAGCGTATTCGGCAGCTAACTGGAGGTCAGAGGTCACATTGCGTCCAAAGCGATACCCTGATGACCCTGCCCCGCGAGGGCTAGCAGGACAGGAGTTGGGAACACTGTAGAGGAGAGAGAAGAACTAAGATCTCCCTTGGAAGAAGTAATGCAGCTAGAGTAAAGAGACACCCCCACCAACATCCCCTTACATTTGCCATTATTACATTTTGCTGATCTGAGGGATTTTTGACATGTGACCTTTGGGCAGAGGGTGTTTGTAAATAAACCACTAGAACATAAGGCTGTGCTGACTCTAAAAAAAAAACAGCAATCAGCTTCCTCTCTCGCCGACATTCACATACAACTTCCTGTAGGGTCATGTGCACGTGTTTACATGTGAAATAATAAACAAGGCGTTACTCATGAGGGTTCATTGAATGTGCAGCTGCTCTCCAGTTTCTACTTCCTCAATGTCAGAGTATAAACGCCACAGAGACAGTTTGCAAATAAGATGTGCAGAAACTTTAACCGCAAAAAAATGACATAATCATCCTTATCAGTCAGAACATTATTACTATCAACACCGATATGGACAATAAACATAAACTAATTGACTGTAATTGTAATGATTCAGGGTTGGTTTTTGACACTTTAGGCAACAAGGTTATGTAAACATTAATAAACAGATGTGATCTTATAAAATCTGTCACCAGGTTACAGACGGGGCAACACTAATCTGATTGCAGCATGTTGATTATATATTTATGTATGCCGTTTGTCGTTTGCAAATGCATAAAAAAGGAAAATTAAGTCTCAGGAACAGTTAATAGAATATATAAAAAGACAGTTCAAAGCTTTATTTAAGAGATCTAAATAACTGGAGGAAAATAGTATCCAGAACCAAAGACTGTAAAGAGTTGGCAAAAAATAGAACTAAAAACAATTTATTATGAAGTGAGCCATGCAGTTATGTTGGACATTTATTTACTGCTTAATCTCTCTGAAATATTTTCCTAATTGACAGAGTTTACATAAATGTTATTTATTCAGCTATTTTTGTGAAGTCTTGTGAGGCAATGAACAGAGCAGGCAGGTCAGGTATGAAGTGGGAAGAGATTCAAAAAAAGCTTGATTTAGAAGATAAGCCAACCTTTCAAAATCTAATGGAAAACCATTCAGTAAATGAAAACTATTTGGCAAAAACTGTCGACCGAAATGACTAAAATATAGACATCAAACCAAAGAAGGTGAAAGTATTATTTATGCACTCAAAAACCCTGTCTTTTTGGAGAAAGACGGCAAAAAGAAATAAATACACGAGAACAGAAGTTCAGGTCAGATGAGACAAAATTCAACTTTTAAGCCTTAACAAAAAATAACATTATTTTAGAGCATGAAAAATGAATTGATTCTTATAGCCTGTATAGCATTTCTGGGTAGATGCAAACTACATTTCATTGCCTTGCTCTCTAACAATGTAATGGCAATCAAGTTGAATTCTAGACTATTAATTCAGATAATCAAAGGACAATTTTTACAAACAAAACAAAAAAGCATTTTAAATGTCCTTCCAGCCTCCATCAATTACTGTGAATGTAATTTGTGGTTGAGTATAATATGAATATAATACTAGAATCAACAATTAACCACCTTAGTGATGAAATTACTAAAGATAATCTTTTTAAAACCAGCAATCCCAATTTGAAATCCAACAAAAAAAGAGTAGATCATAAATCTGGAGAATTTGAATCATTGTTTTGAAACGTGAACCCATGCCCAGCCCCGATATCCTGAACACATCATGTCCCATCTGATGTGCAAGGAAGCTGGTTAGAGCAGACAGGAAGATGAACGGAGCCAAATACAGGGCAAGCCTGGATAGAAAGCTGTTCAGATTTCAGACTGGGATGGAGGTTCCTGTTCCAGCAGAACAATCATTGCAAACCTAAAGTCAAAGCAGAAATGGCGCGGTTTAGAAAGTGTTAAAATGGCCCATTCAGAGACAGAATCTTCTGAAAATCTACAGCAGGACTCTTATATTGGGATTCGCTGCCTCTCACCAACCTAGCAGATCCATCTGAGGAGAATCTGCAACTAAGATAGGATTAAGATTTTACTCCCTAGATGTGAATCGTTAGATACGAAGGTTCCCAATATTAAATATAAATTAAACCCACAGAACTCAATGTTGTTCATATTCTCTTCTGGTCTTTTTAAACTGGTTTAAACTATTTAAAGAAAATCTACAAAAACAAAATAGTCACAAATATCCAACAAAATCGGAAAAATAAGTTAGCCATTAACAGGATTTTATCTGCCGCTGTTTAGACAGAGCACAGTAATTTATACAAGACACACCTGCTTTACTGAGGAAAGTAAACAGTGGTTTCTGGGAGTCACTAAGCTTTGATTTACTTCTGGCAACAGAGAGCCGCGGATACAGTTCAATAAATGATCACAGGAAGGAAAGAATATAGTTTGTTTAGATTTCTTCAGAGGGGGAAAGCTGCAGGATTTAGTTTTGTCACAAAAGCTCAAACATTAGAGCTTAAAACCAGCTAGAGAAGGAAAAATCAAAACAGATTTTGCAAAGAAGCATCTTGAAGATCAGTGGATTTTAACTGGACAGTTAAGTTTTAATCTTTCTTTTTTAGAACAAACCCTTCACCCCTCCTGCTTGTCCACAGGCAGAGGATGAAGAATGGTAGATGTTGAACTGTTCATTCAAGCTGCGAGACAAGAAAGGCGACTGAGTCACCTTAAAGGAAAAAGATCCTGGTGTTTTAAGACGAAGCAAAAATCTTCCTCGAATGTGTAACGTGTTGTTTCAAGTACACAAATATAAGCCTTAAAAAAAGGCCACAATAACAGCGATGCAGAGAAGCAAGAGCAGACTTATTTATACTGTTTGTTTTGAGTCAACATGTGAAGGAACAGGAGCCGAGGGCCAAAGTGGAGGGGGGTGGGGGGTGTAAAGGAAACCACCAGTGGACGGGAAAGTGGCTTACAGGCAAAACAATCTGCCTGATAGCCAATCACAGGCCCTGAAGCTTCAGCCATCCCATATAAGGCATGTACACATAGCCTGACATTGCTGGGCATGCCTGTACAGGCAGACACCGGCCACAAGGTGGCACTATACGGCAGTGAGGCTGGCTGTTTACAATCATAGAGGTGATTTAAATAAAAAAAATTGTTCCTCAAGATCACCAAGACTCAGACACTTATTTATTCAATAACCTGGATGAAGACACTGATTTATATTTCCCCACTTTGAAGGCTTGACAAAAACAAAAAAATAAACCCTGATGGAAAATGATTAAGGCTTACTCTACTGAAAGCATTTATTGGTAATAATAATAACCTCTCTGACACCTAAAGCACAGGTAATAAAAGGTCAGATGAGGTTAATCAGTCTTGATTACATGTACCGTTTCTTTAATACAATAACAGCACAAGAAAAAACACAGAAAAGTGTCTTCCACGCCCCAATGTTCTTGTTCCTCCTTCATTTAGGTGTGATGCCTAAAAATCACACATAGAGCCAAATTACTTCTCTTTTCAGTTTTTTTTGTTTGCTGGTTTTAACAGTTGTAACCATTAATTGAATTAGTACACATGTTCTGCACCATCATTCCTTGTTTTTTAAGATGAAAGATCTTTAGAATCATGACACTAAGTTCAGCTGGGTTATGTGAACCATTGGTAACCTAAAGACACTTCTCTAAACAACCAGATGGATTTATATCATGTATAAAAATACAATACTTGTCCATCTTGCATTATTCCTTTATTTATTTTTAGCAATCACTAATTATTAGACTAACAATACAACCTATTACAAATCTTCCTTGAAAGGGTTTTATTTTAATTTAAATTAATAGTTAAATATGACAACATATAGTTCATAGGGGTTTAAAATAAGAAATTTGTAGACAATTTAGTCTCCACTAACACAAAAATTAGAAAAAATCCCCATTTATGTATACAAAGCAGAAAAGCTTTATAAAAACAACAAGCCTGAACTAGAAATCAAAACTTCCTCAGTTCATTCATGAGGTTTATTCATACCCTAATAAAAAATACTGAGATAATAACTTTAAAATCTAAAAAGTAATATCAATGTTGTCAGATTTTAATCTAATATCTTAAATGTCAGTTACAAAATTTTAGGTGATTTGAACTGCATTAAATAAAGAGGATTTGGTCACAGTCTACAAATTCTAACAAAGGCTTAAACAGTTACATTTTTATTTATTAATGTCTTAAATATTAAGAATTTGTTTATAAGTAAGTAGGTCTTGTTTTTATTTGGAGATCTTTATTGGCCCCTGGATGTCATTGCTTCAACAGATCATTGCTTTTAGCTCTGCTGCAGTTTGCAACTAAACCTTAAAGAGCATCCGAAGCGGTTTTGGATACGAACGCATAGCTTAATGCAAGTCAGAACCTTTCAACACTTCAGCTCTGAAAAACATTTTATAAATTCCCGCTACAATGGGAGTTATTCAGTGACTGAGGCCAAACATATTTATTCACACCGCGCAAACAAACACACATGCCAAATGCAGACAGGAGATTCTCTTCACACACTGCAGTGCAGAACACAACAGTTGTAACTTTTGAAGTACATTTTTTGAAATAAATATTAAATCCCTAAAGACATTGACAAAAAGTATTGCTTTGTTGTAATAGTATAGTACTACAAATGCAGCTCTTAGTCCACTTCAAATCAATCCTGCTCATTCCAATGCAACTCAGTCATACATTAAGAACAAAGTACATTGAGTCAAGTTCTTAGTGGATTCATGTGATATTTCCTTTAATATTCCAGGTTGCATGTCATCTAAATGTCTTGCATTTTACTGAAGTAGGAAAGACTAATTCTGAACAAAAATCTGCTGACAAAAGGTACAACGTTAACCCTAAACTGATGGAAACTGAATGAGGATTAGCCTGACAGATGTTCCCCCCCCACTGGTGGCTTACCTGATTGTGCCGGTGGGTGATGGCAGTGGGGATCCGAACGCCCTGATGTGCTCTTCATGCTGCTGCGCGGTGGGAATGCTGATTTTAAGAGGGGAGATGTGGGGAAGAAGCGGGCGAGGGGGAGGAGAAGGCTGTTCCTTCATGTGCTTTTCCACTTCCAGGAGGGATGTAAACTGGATCTTGATGACTGTACTGGGAAACCGAAACATACACCTGAAAGACAGAAGCACAACGGTGAGAGATGGAGACAGTGGTGGGCAAAAAAAAGCTTAGAAAAAAGAACGGAACAGGGACTTTGTAACATCAAAAAAGACTTCAAGGAAAAAGCTCCAGTTAGTTTACAGAAACAAAACCTAGCATCACAAGATTAGCAGAAACATAACCTGTAATGTTGGAGAATAACAGCAATGTTTCACTAAACATAAAAGCAGTTATACTTTCAAGTTACTACAAAATTATGTTTATATTACAAACCAACCAGTTTGTGGACAAATACAAAAAACAGTGTAAAGTTTACACATAAACCTGTTATCCTAAATCTCTCTTTTCTTCTCCACTTTCAGCAAGTCTGAACAAATGCCCGAATGAAAGCAACAACTAATTAACTGGCCGATATAGTTCTAATCCTCACAAACAAAAGACTAGCTTCTATAATAGATGTGTTAAAATGAGTAGCAGTGGGCGTTTGATGACTGATGTTAAACATCTTTACTTTCCTTGTCGTTTGAAGGGAGCAGCTTTTAAGGGGACTGAGCTTCAGTCCTTTCCCTGCTTTTGCTGAATTAGCAAAAGCTCGACACAAAATGGATCAAATGGACACGATCAGCTCTGAGACGTAAGGTCAAAGGCTTTTGCGTCTAATCGGGCAAGGTTGTCCAATGCAGTTAGAAGGAAAACACAACAACCAACTGTTTGCAGCTACTTTAGACGAGGCTGACGTGTTAGTTCTGCAAGCAATTTCCTGCTTTAATGACAAAAAAAGAAAAACAGACGACTGCATGGAAAATCTAAAAAGAGGGATAACAAACAAACTGACATATGAATGACTTTCACACATCATGGATAAAACTGAAACAAATGATCAATGTTTAATGAATATTACAAATATTTCAATATACAAACTGAAAAGCTAGATTGTCAAAAATGAAGTCTACACCTCATCAAAAAAAATCCTGATATTTATTCAAATGCTTCTTTCACTGATACTCAGCCTTCAGTGGGGCCAAAACAACTAATCAGATTAATTGTGATTAATCGATTATTGAGATAATAGTCACTAATTTAGTAATCTATTCATCGTTAACTGGAGTATAGAGACTGTAAAACATATCTTTAGCTGACAGAGCGACCCACTTTGAGAAGTAATTATATCAAAATTGTTAAAATATATAAATATTTTGGATTTAACACAAAAATATATATATTTTTGTCTGTCAATATGCTCTATCCAGAGGTCCTGAAGTGGAAACATTTTAGTTTCACCTGTTTCAATTTCATTAAAAAAATCTTCTTTAAGGAACCTTTTGCTATCCGATAATTAATCTAAAAAATAATAAACAGATTAATCCAAACTTTTAACTTATTGTATTGGAGAACATGTGAGGTTTTCAGTTTCAAAGTAGCTTGTGCTGGATAGTTGATTAGAAATGACTTTGCTTAATTCCATTCTATGGCTGGCACAACTGGAAAAAACACAGCAAAGCAAAATAGTAGTTCTGTGTTTACAGTTCTGTACAGATTGGCAGAATTCCCATTTTTTTCTGCCTCAGAGCAACTATAGCACTATGGGAGTGTGTATGTGGATATCCCAAATAAGCATGAACTGTTTAACATAGGCTCGGATATTTTTACATTTTCAAAAATATTGGAATCATCCAACATATCTTTCCTACCAACTGAATCTGAGATTGACTAAAATTTGTTAAGTGTGACCTATCTGAATTTTCCTTAACTGCATATAAAATGGATCGGTATGTGAAATGTGTCAAGATTACATCCAATAGTTTGGTACTATTTAAACAACTTTAATTGAACTTAAATATATTTTTATCCTAACGTCCATATATAAAAAATTACGTTGCTGACTAAAGTTGTATAAATATAAATAATATATAAAATAGGCCATTATTATAAATAGCAATTCTGTTTTGAAGTAAGAGCAATTCAATAATTGTGTTGATATGCTGACAAACAGATCACTGACCTATCTCACAGTGCTATAGTAGAAGATGCACTATATATAAACACTACTTGCTAGATTTCCTTGTTCATAGTTTCTTTTCCAAAGATTTTTATAGCTTCTACAGAGGTTTCTAATCTCCACCAATAGTTGCCACAAATTTGGTCTTATATTTTAGGGTTCTTTGCTTCTTTTTGATGCAAGGGTTTTAAAGCTGTCTCAAAAATATTTATTATGGTTCCAAAATGACAATAAAGATACAGTGGAATCTGCTTATAGTGGACACGGATATAGTAATCAACTGCTTATAGTGTTCAAAAGGCCTGGGACAGGATCATTTCTTTACAAATGCTGTTTAAATAATTTGTTTATAGTAATCAAGAAATCCACATATAGTGTTCATTTTTGGCCATTTTATGAATGTAAACATGTGCAAAAAATCATTTTAAAATTACGTGTAGGCTAGTTATTTTATTTTATACTCCCATGATTCCTTTCTGGGAGTCTGCTGCTGCCTAGCTAGCTAATGTAAAAAGTTGACGACCAGGCAGGTAGAACTAGCTTGCGAGTCATGACTGGAAATGAAAGATGAAGATGTGGAGACTGTTATCCCTTCCAGAGCTGAGATGAGGAATGCAGTTTGCATTTTAAAGACTGGTCTCCTGCATGTTGGTTTCAAAAACTTTGACCTTTTACATTGTTTTGAAAAAGAAGTGAAGTCGTTGTTGGACAACACTCTGATCGAGGGAACCATGGATAAATATGTCAAGCGATTTCTTAATGCGGCGCAACAGATCCGCAACACAAAACTGAAGCAGGCTACCTTTAATTTTCTGTAGCCTACATGGTTATCTTCTATGTTGTTGTTCTATTAAACTGTTGGTTTCAAACTTCAGCACCAGGCTACCAGAGTTTAGGAAATGCGGAAGCTATCTGTTTCATTTCATTTTTTTCATTGAAAAACCACTCAAATGGCATTTAGATGATATTCTGAATAAAAAAATAAGTGAAATAATGGAAGTGAAATTCAGATATAGTAATCAACCGTTTATAGTGTTCAAATTGGCTCTGGACCAACGTGATCACTATAAGCAGATTCCACTGTACTTAAACATGTAGTTTTTTTTTTCTAAATGTAAATACCATAAATGGATGGTATCTTTACTCAAGGTACAATAATACTCTTGCAACAGCCATATAGCTTTTGTTTGGGTTGATATAGAATTATTATGCACTCAGCTAAATGTTTTTGCAGTCTTTTATACTGAGGATCGCCCAGATTGTCACCAACCAGTGTGCTTTTGAGAAAAAAAAAACACATGCAAACATGGCTGTAGTAAGATTATTTTCTCTCCATGTGGGTCTCAAATAAAACAGTCTTCAAGCCAACACTTCCGGTTCAGAGCTGGACACGCCTCCCAGCAGTCCGAGGAGCCAATCAGAGAGAAGAACTACCCTCTTCAGTGATTTGTTAGGATATGCGCAGTCAACACTTTCAGCTCTGCAGATTACATCTGTTTATTTACAAACCCGATCATCAGGGAAAAATCCTCAGAATATATAGCCAGTATAGTTAAAATAAACAAAACTACAATCGTGTAAAACGTGATGTCATTAAAGGCACAAGTGACACCAGTTTCAAAAAGAAACAGGAGTCGTTTCTACAAGACACGTGAGGGGAGTAGTCAGGGGTGCGTTTGTTTACATTAATGTTTAAGTGACGGTGACACGTTGACTTAGAGCCCCGCGGCTAACGTGAAGTTAGCATGCTGAGCAACTTTATTAAAATGCAACACACGCTACAGAAACAGCTTTTACGGTTTTAAGGCACGGATTATGAATAAAGTATTTGATAGCTTCATATAAAGACATAAATACAAGTTCAGAGCTTTATATACCTATGTTTGACAGGCCAAGGCGAATGAAGAAAAACCGGCTGCTCTGATTAAATTATTTATGTGAGTTACTTAACATATAAATAAAAGAATTTATGCAGTAAATACGATGCTTTGTTTTAAACCTGAACAACACGATGTCACTGTATATGTGGCCGTTGTCGAATTGTATGCTAGGCTAATATTTATTTTGGCAGAAAAATAAACGTTTGATATACTTTAAAAAATACAAACATTGTTTTTAATCCAAGGGAAAAGTTTAAACTGATAAGAAATTACAAAAATAATAAGGTGTTGGGTGCTGGGTAAATGTTTAAGGCATGTTAGAACTTTTGGAAGTAATGCTAACTGCTAAGCTAACTTTCTGGGCTTACTCTCTGGGCAGCGGAAGCGGCGGCGCTCCTCTCCGCTGAAACACTCCGTCAACAAACACACCGTTCTTGCCCAGGCACCGCAGGGAGAAGCCGCTCGCGTCGTCGTAGGTAATTTGCAAGTGTCGCCTTGAAATGAAACTCGAGTGACCCATGTTGATGTCCACAGAGCCGTGGGATGAATTCCGGCCTATGGTCACCGTCCTCTGGCGCATGACAAACTCGAAATCCCGGCCCTCGAGCCTAGCCAGGGCCTGCGGAGGAGTCGAGGAGAGCCTCACGGGGAAACCACCGGCGACCCCGCGAGCTTCCATTAGCGGAGGACCCAGGATGGCGAGCGAGGGCTGGTGATAGGAGTGAGAGGTCACCGCAACGCGCACAGGGCTGCACGGCGCCGACTGTAATGCAAGCAGGGCCCGAGCACCGTTGTCGTCCCGGTAGTCTGCCATCTTTTTCTGGAGCTTCAACACGCTCAGTGAGACTATGCAATAAGTTTTACTTGACGGGCACAGAGAGCAGCAACGTGAGAGTTTTCCAGAGCACTTGTTCGCTCTGAAGCTGACGGAACAACATGGAGTCCGCTCGGATCAATAGAAGAACCGGAGCGGACTATCCAGGAACCGGATTGATGACGCGTTCAGGAACCCCCTCTTAGGAGCAATCATTTGAGATGGTTCTCAACATTTTTTATTAGTAAAACCTCTATAAATACAGATATTCCAAAGTACCACGACTTGTAGTCCTTTTATAGAACAGATCTTATTATTATTATTTTTTTCTTTCAGTTTTCTTTTGCCATAAACACTTTTTTTGTATTTAATGTTGCATCAATCATAATATTTGAACGTTTTTGATCTTACATTGGAGAAATTTACCTCTGCATTTGACCCATCTCTTTGGGGAGCAGTGGGCTGCCATTATGTGGCGCCAGGGAGCAATCAGGGTTATTAGGGTCTTGCTCAGGATCCCAAAGTTGAGGCAGTGGGATTCGGATCGGGTACTTGGAACCTTCTCATTGCACAAGAGCACTGCTCTAACCCACTAAGCTAACACTCCCCCAAATTACTTCAACTGGAACCTTCATATTTAAATAAGTTAATTTAAATAAGTGTCTACTTGCCATACAGGTAATGCAAGTAGACACTTATTCAAACTTAAGAGGTTTTCTACTTTCATCATCTTAAGGTTCAGCTTTTTGTTCCTGAAATACTTTGAATTTTATCTTTGTGTTGATATTTTCTGCTCAAATCTTAGATTGATGGTTCCTCTTTTAAAGTTAAATCTTTAGCTAACCAACAGTTGTAGTTCTACTACATATATATA